TCAGTTACCTGGCTCTTGGAATTTCTCCAGCCTTGGCATAAGGGAATAAGCAGAGCAGGAGTCACAATATGGATTGTTGTTTTTAAACTGGGGCAATGGTATATGGTAAGTAGAATCATGTTTACAACAATCCATCTTGTAAGTCGTACCAAGTAAAATGAATTACTACAGACTGTTAGAAGCCAATATCTGTAAAAAATAAGTCAAGGCAACTGGACTTGCTGTATTTTTCCAGTTGCCTTGACTTTATTTTTACAGATATACCATGACCTGGATGAATGAGAACCTTCACAGACATATGTTACAAGCCAACTTCAACCAAGAAAGTGTTGAAGTTGTAGTGCAGCCAAATTGCATTTTGAAACGTTGGATACTAACATTTCACGCCACAGATTAATTTGTGCAAGCGCTTTGTCAATTCCCACGTTAGGATATTTTTAACTTTAGAACTCGTGAGGGACATGGACGTAAAAAGTCCAAACTTAGCCATGAATTCTCCAGCGTCTTCTGTAATGAACAAAATGATTTATCAGTTATTAGCGACCACCAGGATGTGATAATTGCTCTCACTCAAATATCACAAATTAATAAACCCTTTCCACCTCTAGAGAATATTACCAAGTTGATTGAAACTTTGAAAGTAAAAGTTAAACTTGGGAGACTTTATTACTAGATTATCACTTCCAAAAAGGAAATGTACAGTATGTGTCAATTTTATATTGCAGAAGCCGTATGTCGGTCACGCATGGACACGTCACCAGGATAGGAAGTGAGACAAAACCCCCGAACCAATAGAAACCCAATAACAATGCCCAATTTTCCTCATCTCTTTGCAGCACACACCAATGCAAAACATTTTAGGAATTTCAATTAAAAGCTCAACTCCAGGATAAGCAAATATTGTCATAAAACAACAGACATGTGTATTCTTACTTAAATATGGGTGTGCTTTGTGTATTTCTTCCAGATCTCTGCAGTAATACAGTGAGACTCTTTCTGAAATAAAGACCAGTCACTGTGGCCTTGTCTCCCTGTGCAGGGTGAGTAGTCTTGGATCCGCCCCCTCCTGTAGTTTTCTGCAGGCAGCCTTTTGTGGGTGAACCAGATAGGCCCAACCCACAGCTCTGCTCTCTGCACAGTTTGCAAAATAATAACAGTGTACACCGATTGCCTATGTAAACCCAAAGTGAATGTGTGGTTATTAAGGAATTAAGATGACTACCAACTCCCTCATAATTCAGTGTAGATGCACAGGCACCAACAGTCCTGAACAGGCACGTGGAGCCGTAAAGGAGAATAGGATTCAAAATATTTATTTATAAAAGATTGGTTAATAATTAGTTTATTTAGACCAAAAAACAAACACTATGTAAGTGTGTGTGTTTGGGGGGGGGTATGCATATATACAGGAAGTGGCTGCAAATAGACTACAGCAGTTTAGCATCATGGAGATGAAAACAAATATAATTATTTTTTTTTAAATGTCAATCATTTACGATACATAGTGTTTCAAGACAATAAACGTCATCCAGTTAGGGTTCAGATGTAACATTTCCAAGGCTAAACCAATTTCCTTTCTTTATGATTGTTCTCTATGTCCCCAGGCCTTCATAAACTACGAAATAAAAATATTCCAGGTTGATCCATTTTTTCCCCCTCAGCTCAGGAACCATTCAGGAAATTAAGTCACATCACAAACTCGCACAGATGAGATATCCCAGGCAGATCAATAGTATTGGTTTCACAAGATCTGCGCCAGACAAAAAAAAGGTATATTCGAGATGTGAACAGAGATTTTATTAATCCATCTAAATCCATGGCAGGATTCAGTTTCAGGACGGAGATTGTGATTACACCTTCGATGGATATGAAACCTCATGCCAGCTTTCCTTCTCATTTAAGACAGATTTTTCACAACAAGAACCGATACTATTTGTGAATGTTTAAAGCCCATCTTTGGGCAAACCAAAAAACTACCCTTGAAGTGGGGCACTGCAGGAGCTAAGTGCTTATTTATGCTGAGGGGACAATCAACTATTTACTTACCAGATACTCCCTCCTGCCGCCTCCCTCCAGGCTGATAAACCACTCCCTGCAGCCTCTTCTCTCCTTTGCTCTGGCATCCAGGGACCCTTTTTTGTTATGTCTAATGCAAGTTCTATAGACCTACATCAGGGACATCCCACCAAATTGGAGGGGTGAAAAGTGAGCACTGGCCACAATGGGAGCGTGGATCAAGTTAAAGTTGTGCCCTGCTGCATAGGTAGAGATCATTTTTGGGTTTGCCCGGAGATGGGCTTTAAGTGGTTAGTGTAAAAGTCCAAGGAGACGTTGGACTTGCCGATGAGGAACCAGATGTTTTAACATAACGTGCTGGGGATTATAGTTCTCAAAAAGCTGCAGAAAAATCAGGTGATCTTTAAGCCCAACTAGGAGCAAAGGCATACAAACATTTCTTAACCTGTTTAGAGTTCAGAACTAACAATTGCACTTTGTTGTCATGCATGAATGTAATTATCTTCATGTACACCCCCACACAGCTACCTCCTCATGTATCACTGGCCCCTCCCTTTTAGATTGTAAACCGTCACAGGCAGGGCCCTCCTCACCATCTTGTCTTGAATTGTATTGTAATGTCTTCCTTATGTTGTAAAGTGTTAGTGTTATATAAATCCTGTATTATAATAATAATAATAATAATAATAATAATAATAAATATTATTGTACATATACATCAAATTGAAGGTCAGTGCACTCACAGGATATATTTTAGTTATAGGTGCATCTAGCTGGGCTAAGTAAGCCCCTTACTTCTTATAACCTTTGATAATCCAACAGCAAGATCTTCTTGCTCTAACTCCCAACTCTGTTCCTGCCCTTCTGGAAGTTTGGGGTGTTTTTTGCCTACCCTTGTGTATTGCAGCTCTTGCTGTTGCATGCTCTATTGTAGCAAAAATCCAAAAGGCAGAGTGGGAATACCACATAATGGCCACAGAAGATGTACAGCCCCGCTACTCAGTATAGAAGTCTCACCAACAAGGAAACCACCAACAGAATCTCATGGAGATAGAAGAAACTGTCAAGTGGTTTAATGTACTAGCATCTACCAAAACTGGAATAATGAGTTTTTGGGGAACGGACCCTTTAAAATATAAAAAAAGGGGTTTTCATATACAATTTCAAATAAGATATCACATGAGGATAGTCCTATTCATCCATTACATATGTTGCCTATGCTTCCTTTTTTAAGTAATGTTGTAGCGTTGTAGCGGGACTCTGCATCTCTTTCTTAACAAGAAAAAAACGTAGACATTGCTCTTCTGGCAAAGCAAAGTCTACTTATTCATTGTAGACCATCTCCCCCTTCCTAATCTCAATAATAATAAAAAAAAACCTGCAGGGGTAAACAGTTCATATACTCGCCATCCACGGCCGCGTACTCCTATAGAGAAGGACAGGGGCTGCGTACTAATCACACGCAGCACCTGTCCTTTCCGGGAGTTTCCCGATATGGCCGTGCACACAGCACGGAGCTGTACGTGCCCGCTTTTCTCGTGGGAATGAGGCCTAAAATGGCACACGCTGACAACTCAAGAAACTGGCCACATGCATCCACATGTCTGACGGAAGAACTCTTCTTGTTATAACTAGTCACATTCATCCATTGCTTCTGGCATACTGAAGAAACAAGTATGGCTCTTTCTTCAGGCACGCCTATTATACATATATTCAAAATGTGTGTATAAACTCCGATATAAAAGATCTGAAGTAATTCTCGGTGTGTACATGAGCATAGCATTCATCAGACTTCCTGACTGCTAAAATCCAAAAATGACATAGTACCATACTACAACACCACAGCCACGTTAAAGAGCACATAGCGATAAAGAATATTGTGCACACTAGGACTACATCAAGCCAACACCAGAAGTCCACAACCATGACAGAAAGCAAACATTTAGTAAATAAAACCCTGAACAATGGCATTATGTATGTATATTGTAGTTAAAAGGTGGTTCCCAAGTGTTATATTTTTCTACAGAAATATGGCAGTGGGGTCCCCCGTGCACTGCATGGGTTCAATGCTTGCTTAGCTAGTAGGGAAAGGAATAAATACCTTCATCTTTGCTCCTGCAGGCTTCCTTTCGCTCCATGAGAAAGTTGCTCAACTTTACCACACTGACAGTTGCAGTTCTCCGACATCATGTACAATCCAGGACCAATAGTCCCGACAAGGAACAGCACCAGTTGTTGGGGGAGTGAGGAAAAAGCTAAGCATCTGTACTTATTTCTTTCCTCCCAGCCAAACGGGCACTTAACCCATCTATGGGGGGGGGGGACCCCACTGCATGAGCAAATTTAACAGCAGTCTGTAGTAAGGCTTAAATATTCCACTGGTCTGAAATTGAAATACTGTAAAGCAGGACAGTTAAAATAAACCTTTTAATTTTGATATTCCCAGAAGGCTAGATTCTTGGATAGGGGTAAAATGAGTAAGAGGGGCACATTTATGAAGCATACAAATGTGATATTCACCAAATCTTCAAGTCAGGTGAATCTTTCTGGTGCACGTGTTTAAATACTAAGGAATGATTAACAATCTGGGACTATTTGGTTAATGACACATTCACCGCTTTATAAATAAGCCCCATTGTATATTATAGTTACTTCCATGCTTCCAGTTCATGGATATCCATCCTAAAAGTGACGGAAAACTCCTGCCCACTTCTCTCTGCAGCTGGACAGTTATTGGAAAGATCACCATATACCTTTAGGGAGCCTGACAACCAAATTTGTACAGCTGCAGTGCAAGTGCAGGGGGCAGAGGTGTTAGGATACTGCAACTTTAATGAGGCAAGTATACATCACTACACTTAATTCTATCCGTATCCAAGAATCTGTTCTTGATGGGTTGCACTTTTTTTTCTGATTAAAATTATCCATGCAGCAGAAAAACAAAAAAACAAGCAAAACATTCCCTCTGTTAACAAGGATGATACCTGAATAGGACCAATATGGTTCCCCAGCTGCTTTACGCCTTCGTATCTGCACAGAGCTTCCATGTCTGTTTTCATGTAGGGCTCCCACGTTTCCCTCTGTGTATGCTGCAACAACAAGAACAAAAAATGCATTTCGTTAATCAACTTTGTTGTTAAAACGGAAAGAGAATTCGAGCAACTGACAAAAGGAGATGGCAGTAAATTGCCAGGAAACATTAGGAGATAAAAAAAGGCATATATAAGCGTCAACGGACAAATGCAGCTTTTCAGGTGACTTCTACATTTCAAATTAGTTAGAGGAGCTTCTGAAATTATTCACTGTTCACCAACAGGGGTATCTGACCTGCAGTTGACCTCTATGACTGCATATAGCCTCCTTTTAAGCTGCTCCACCATCGAAGGCCCTCCAAAAATACTTACAGCCAGTTATGAGGTAGATGTGTACACTCCATCCCATGCCCCACTCATCTGAGCAGCCAATTTGTAAGGAGTTATGTCCAATGGGTGGAGGTGATACTACTGTAGAGTTACCAACTTTAAGTCAATATGTTAGCAGGGCTTTACCAGTGGAGGGCACTGGTAAAAGTGAAACCCCCCCAAAAGAGTAGAGAGATTCTTTAATTGGGCTATAGAAGTAACATGATGGGTCGCCCATCAGCGGAGCAGAGACTTTGAGTCCACAATCCATGTATTGGGATCGTGTACTCAGCAGTGATGACCAAGAACAATTGGATTGAGGACACCCCCGACTATCTATGGCCATTGTAAAGTAAGCATCAGAAGCTCATTATCCATAAGGGTTTTACATATTTTTTTTTCTTACGTATGTCAGTGCTGTCAGCTCTACTCTACTTGCCCTAGGCAGAAGTCCTCTAGCGCCATAATAATTATTATCTTCACCGTGACATGGCTATACAACTGCAGATATGGTCAGGGACCTTTCGTTGGTCAGAAAAGTCTTGTCACAGAAGACCAATGGCCAACAGCCACCCAATATCTTTGGGTATCTTTACTATAGTAGTTGTGGTAGTAGTTTTATTTATATACTCTGAACAAGGATGTGACTTTCAGTAAACTGCCCATTATACCAAACTCAGAGAGCAGCCCCCAAAATGAATCAGTCATCATATAACCAAGCAGAGTTTCCTGCTCCCTTTAGTGAAATTACCAAAGATGATATTCCGCCAAGGAATGCAACATAAATAAAAGAAGCCAACTCCGTTCCCCCTGAGGATCTCCTCCAAAGAATTTGTCCTTTTCACATCTGGTTTTTGTTTATACACATTTTTAGAACACAAACTACAGACACAGATTCTGCTCAGTAAAGATTTACAGCTGACCGAATTTCACACAAGCTCACAAAAAAGGAGGTTTTTTTCTGAATAAAATGTTGCTGTTTTTAAAAGAAGACAAGCAGCACCGCTGAGCTGAAGAAAAAAGAAAATGGTTTGAGATGTATTGTTCTAGCAAGACAGATCTAACATGAGAATTATAAAATACACCAATGTGCAAAATCTTCTTTATATATCATTTACCAGCTATATAATGTAGAATGTTACTTATTTATCTTTGCTGCTGATTTAAACGCCTTTGCAGCATTATTGTAAATAGCCGGATTGGTGTGACATTGGGGCGCTTAGTATGCAATTATAGACAGTGGAGATTCATAAAAATGATGCTGGAAATGGTTTTCTGCTGTCTGCTCATTAATCTGTATACAACGGCGGAGGTCACAGGACCTCCTTTTGCCTGGCCACAGAACAGAGTCGTTCCATGATTGTCCTAAACCAACATGGACACATAAACCATTCTGTATTCCCTGGGGTTGGACCGGGCCTCTTATTTCTTTCCTTTGCTGCATCGGAGCCAGGAGTCCAAATCAAGTGAAAGCTTAAAGTCAGAGCCAATAGATGATGACCTTCTATTCAGGCCTGGTATGGGCACATTCAGGTCCAAAATTGGAATCCTGGGAGGTCACGTATTCCCCCAAACCCTAAAAGTGATAAGAGAACCTAAGTCCCAGCCCCAAAATTTTAGTTTTCCAATTTTGGAGAGAGTATAGAAGGTAAGAAACCATCTTTGTATGCTGTTCATGCCATGGCCTGGACCCAAGGCTCTCCCCCGACCTTTAAACGCCCCATTTGAAAGATTTTTCCTTTCTTTTTTTGTTACATACAGGGTTTATATAGCACCAACAGTTTGCGCAGCGCTTCACAATATAAAAGGAACACATTACAATTACAATACAATTCAAGACAAGATGGTAAGGAGGGTCCTTACAATCTGAAAGGGGTGGGCAAGTGATACATGAGGAGGTGGCAGTGTGGAGGGGATAATTGTTTGAGACTGTGATGGTCGGGTGGTTAGGTTGAGATGGGATAGGCCTCTCCAAAGAGATGAGTCTCGCCTAAAGGCAGAGTGGGAGATGGGACAGGTTGGGGTAAAGAGTTCCAGAAAATGGGGGAGACTCTAGAGAAGTCCTGGAAGCGAGCATGGGAGGAGTTGACGATGAAGCTGGAAAGCAAGAGGTCTATGGAAGAGCGAAGGGGACGGTCAGGGTGATATTTTGAGACAAGGTTTGAGATATATCCGGGGGCAGAGTTGTGGATGGCTTCGTAAGTGGTTGTTAATATTTTGAATTTTATCTTTTGGGCGAGTAGAAGCCCGTGTAGGGATTGACACTGCAGACACTGAGCAGTTGTTTAGGTGGATGGTTGAGTCTAGCAGCTGCATTCAAGATAGACTGAAGGGTGGAGGAGCCTGTGTAGAGGTTGGCCAATGAGGAGGGAGTTGCAATAGTCAAGACGAGAGATAACAAGTGAGTGGATGAGTAGTTTTGCGGTTTCCTTGGTGAGGAAGGGGCGTATTTTGGAGATGTTACGAAGGTGAAGGCGGCAGGATTTGGATAGTGATTCGATGTGGGGAAGAAAGGTGAGGTCCGAGTCAAGGATGACACCTAGCATTAGGCATCTTGGCATGAGGGGAGGGATGGATAGTTGTATTATCAATCCCAAGGGAAAACTTGGTGGAAGGTGCACAGGCGGGAGGAAATATCATGAGCTCAGTTTTTGACAAATGGAGTTTTAAGAAGTGTTGCGACATCCAGACTGATATGTCAGTTAGTAGATTAACTGAGGTGGTGAGTTGGAGTAGAAATATATATCATCGTGTCATCGGCATAGAGATGGTATTGGAAGCCATGTGAGGTTATTAACTGACCAAGAGAGGTGGTGTAGAAAAAAAGAAGGGGTCCAAGGACTGAGCATTGGGGGACCCTACAGAAAGAGGAAGAGGAGGGGAGGAGTTAGATTTGTAGGTGACACTAAAATATTCTAGCATAGTGAGGACCTCTGTCAAGGTAGCCTTTGTTTGCTGGGACCCCATGAGGAACATTTCCTTTTACTTTTTGTCTAGCTCCCAGAATAGGAAGGGAAGACAAATTTCCTTTAAAAGGGGACAAAGACAAAAACATTTAAAACCCGCAGAATAAGTTCCAATTCATTCCACTCTGTTAAAGCCAAAAAAAAGAAAAAAGTTTTGGCTGAAGTTGGCCTGCAAACACAAATAAAGAGAAAAAAAAAATAGCTGTAGAAAACAAATATATATGGTGAAGCAGTTAAACATGTTCTTAACAGCCAATTAACGTTCTAAAATACTGAAGATTGTTAGGCCGTAAATATTCAACATAATGGCTCTCTTTATTGGCAGCAACAAATAATACACACAGCCAGCAACAGGAGACATTGCACTATAGCATAGACCACAGCTGTAAGCTTTATGGCTGCCCGGGACTTCCATAGAGCAAAATCCACTTGAGATATATCACTTCCAAGACAACGCGGGCCATAAAGTGGAACAACAGAGCGTCCTGCTGCTTTAAGACTGGATTGCAAACTCTTAAAAATGTTACGGTTAGCACTAAAAACAAAACAACAAAAAAACCTTAAACTGTTAAAGCTTAAAGACATTCTGCTTTATCGCATATGCTGTCACCATATTGTTGGCAAAACAGTAAAACGTGGCCACAACAATTTATAGTTTATGAAGGTAGAATGCTTGTAGTCCGCACAGAAATTGCAATAAATTCCTACAAATGCATCCTCTGAACACTGTAAAAGGGACAAAGCGATTAAACTGATTTCTTGCTTAAATGTATGATGCATAGGAAATGCATAAGCCATACACAGCGTTACTTTGTATTTGTGGATAATTAATGAGCAAACTTTCACTTTGTCAGTGTCCTTTGTGAGTTCCAGACTTGATGGACTTTGCCAGTAATGTCAAACTTCACCTCTAATGTTATTATACGAAAGACTACACCAAAGCCTTCCATTACTGCAAGCATTATCGCACTTTGAAAAGTTTAACATTAAGGCCATAAAAGGTATTATAGGAAAACTTGGATAAATATAAGTTACTAATATGAGGAAGCCTGTAGTTGCTTGTTCGAGGTAATCTGACAATCGTTTAGAAGCAATTTGACCACTTTTATGTCAAAGCCAACTTTGCACATTTGCAGATCTACATTTTAGCAAATCACATAAGTCATTGGTCACAAACGAGGATGAAAACATTGTAAACTTATGTATGGCTCTATTTGTACAGGAAAGTGATGGGGCGATATGCCTGCCCAGTTACACACCAAACAGTACTAATAACTAGGGACGTGCATGGGCTTGGTAGGAATTAGCGTCGCTCAGGCCCATGCAGAACTATCAGTGATCCACCACCCTGGCCTAATTAGTTGCAGCCAGGACCTTTCCTTCCCACAGGTACGTGCAACAAATGAGCAGGGAATGCCCCGGCTGCGTCACTGCCAGTTTTGTATGGGATTAGGAGAAATCGGATAAACTCTGTTCGCACCAAGCCCATGCACATCCCTACTAAGGAGCAAGGTTCAGCAATGCGGGTGTTGTGATCGAAACGTTGTCCCATTAACTTGAAACAGATTGCATACCAACAGCACACCGAATGTTCTTTAATTAGATTTTATTAAGCAGTCACCAGTGTTATTATGCAAGACTTTTATAGCACGAGCAGTTTATGCAGTGCTTTGGAAAAAGGAAGCCAATTACAAAACAAATTTAATACAAGTGAGTTAAAAG